TTTCTCGTTAATTTTTCGTTTACGTCCTTTTCTAATTTTATTTTACCGTCTCTCATTTTATTTATTTTTTTTTTTTTTCGTTTTTTTTTCCTCTTCTTCTTTTATCCCATTTCAATCCAATAATAGCTCGCGACGAGCGAAAAAAAAAACTTACTCGGTTTTCCCCCTCTCTTTTCTTCTTCTTTTTTTTATAGAATATTGTTTAAACAATACAAATCATATATATATATATATATAAGTCGTAATCGTTTTTTTTTTGTTATGTGTCCTTCGTTTTCTTTTTTCCTAAATTTTTTGTCCTTTTCCTATTATATCTCAGTTCTTTCTCTCTATTATTCATATTTTTGTCACTGCCAATGATTCATCATCATTCATCATCATCATCATTGCATTTTAAATACGAATGCATATAATCTCGCATAAGGGATTAAAAGTTCGCGAGAATTTTGAAAATGTCAACGAAAGGACGGAAGGGTCTCGTCATCGTCATCAATCGTCGTCAAAATTACCCTTTTTTCAAAATTACCTTTACCTTTTTCTTTTTTTTTTTTTCATTCATCCATTTATTTATTTATTCATTTATTTATTTATTTATTTTACTTTTACTTTTACTTTTACTTTTTACTTTTAATTTGTTTCCCTCGTTTTTATTTTAATGATTGCGTCCTTCGAGCGTTTGTGTGAGTTTTATTATTTTTTTTTTTTTTTATTTTTCTTCCTTACGCAGCATTTTTCTAAACGCCACCTAAATTTTTGTCTACGTGTGCGATAAGTATGTATATAAAATTGCCCAAAAAAATAGTTGTATGTGTATATATATAGATACTTATCGTTTTCGCATTTACCTCTCTCTTTCTCTCTCTCTCTCTCTCTCTCTCTTTCTCTCTCTTAATCATTTTCTTATCCGTGTTATTTTTCATAATTCGTACGCAACGTATTAATCAGTCACATTAGTATACGTAACACATCATAATGTATTAAATATACTTCATCGTATATGCGTGTGATTTATTTTCCTTTGTATGTGTAATGTTGCTGCAAATTGCGTATATTTCGTATTGTATCTCTGAATGTATTATATGAATTATTGAACCTGATATACGTATATATATGTGTAAGTGTATGTAATGTATTTAATGTGAACAGGTGTTTCTTTCGTTTCTTTTCTGGAAAACTACCCCTCTTTTATTTCATTTAATCATTTTCATTCTTCTCCTACACATCATCGTCGTAGTCGTGCGAGGTTAACTATGTGACTGTATTATTCTTATTACTTAGTTGTTATTATTATTATTATTATTATTATTATATTATTATTATTGTTGTTGTTGTTGTTTTTTGTCGACTGCTACTACATACGTACAGAAACGTTCGTCCTATGAAAGCAGATCACACATTAAAAAATGGCGTAACATGCTCGACGTATACCGTTTCTTTGTAATTATCCACTTATATACACACACTCTTGTATTTCAAGATTTCTTCTTCTTCTTCTTCTTCTTCTTCTTCTTCTTCTTCTCAATTCACTTTTCTTTATCCCGTGTGATCGAGTTCGAGCTAATTGATGAATCGTTTTACTCTCATTCAATGTTGTTTTGCTGGCTTTGTTTGTTTGTTTGTTTCGTTCGAACATCGAAATAGGATATAAATTTGGGTGTATTATTAAAACGAAGAAACACACTAGTATTATCGAGGGATACCCAAATGACCTTGATCTTTTTTTTGTTTATTCTTCTGTTCCATTACGAGAGGACAAAAGTTATGATTAAGCTGAGACCATTCGAGAAACAATATCATTCGTAATGTCCGGGTGAGGATCCTCGTTTTGGAAAAAGTGCGAGACGAGAATATATTGCTGTAAGAAAGTGATAAAATTGCTACAATATTTCCCGACAAAATGGCGCTAACTAATTGATATCAAAGTGATCTCACCATAAAACTGTACAAAAATCTACCTCCATTTATTTTTCATCCTCACCTTCATCTTCATCTTTATCTTTATCTTCGTATCATAGATTATTAGCTTATACTGTGAGTGTATATGCTTGTATGTAAATGTGTGTACCTGTATATGAGTAAATGTGTGTGTGTGTGTGTGTGTGTATGTGTAGGATAAGAGTTTCCGCTCTTTTTTTTTCTTCTCACTATGTATAATATTTAAATATACTATACATGCATACGTCGTTTTAAGTTTGTACAAACTTCCGAGGATCGCACCAGGATGTTTCAAGGTCGCATCCTAATCACTCACATTGTCCTCTCTTTCTTTTTTTTTTTTATTTTTCTAACGAGGACGTAAGAAGGATTCAAGTGACCTCCTCCTCCTCCTCCTATAACCCGATTTTCTCCCCCTTTTCACCCTATCCTAAACATTTCTACGGATTCTTGTATTTATCGTGTTCTAATATTTGATTTTTGATAAAACCCGATCGATCTCTTTCTAACCTACAAGAGTGAGAGAGAGAGAGAGAGAGTTTGTAGTATCATACAATTAGAAAAAAAATAATCAAGAATTAAACAAAAGTCATAGTTGCAATGAAAAAATCTACCCCCTTACCCCTAATATTTGACTGATGTATTAAAAGTATTTGCTGAGAATTAATTTTTTTGTTTTGTTAAAACCTGACTGAAGTCTCTCTCTCTCTCTCTCTCTCTCTCACTCTCTTGATAATTTATTTAAATAAGAAACGATGAAGAAAAATAATAACAAAAAGTTGAATTTTTCACTATAGTCATCACATCCCCATTTTTTTTTCACCATAATCGTCCTATCCCATAAAATCATTCTCGTTTAATTTTCATTGCTATTTTGTTGTTGTTTTTGTTGTTGTTCATTCTTCCTACGTTTTTACTATTCATTCTCTCACTCTCTCACTCTCTCACTCTCTCTCTCTCTCTCTCTTACACTTTCTCTCTTTTTCTCTTTTATTCGTATTATTTCATTCTACTATATAATTATACTTGTGCCATTCCTAATTTTCGATCGATCATTCAAATAATTTAATTAGTAAAAAAATCATCTCTTTCATCAAAAAGTCCATCACTCTTTCTCTCTCTCTCTCTCTCTCTCTTTCTCTTTCTCTCTTTCTTTCTTTTTTTTTTTATTTACGAGCGCCGCGTACGTGAGAAACGCGTATATATCAATTACGCACCTATTTAACATATTATTATTATTATTATTTATTTATTTTTTTTATTTTTAATAAGAGTCCTTAAGAGCTAGAAAACTGTGTGACCTGCGTATAAGGTGTTAAAGTTTTTGTTGTTAATGTTGTTATTGTTTAATTGTTTGTTTGTTTGTTTGTTTGTTTTCTGATTTGTTTTTTGTGATACCGAGAATTATCTAATATAAAGCAGTTTGAAGCACGGTTCGTTATGTTCTTTTTTTTTTTTTTTTCATTTTGCATTTTATACCCCATTATTATCGTAATTGATTAAATTCAACATCCGATTTGCGAGAACAGTTCGTCGAATCCCAAAAATCGTCATCATCATCATCATCATCATCGTCATCATCAATCATCAATTGTTTTTGTCATCCATTCGCACGTGCGCTGTCCTCTTTCTTTTATTTATTTATTTAATTATTTAATTTTCTTTTATTTTATGTTTATTTGTGTTCAATCCTCTATCCCTTCTCCGTTTCGTGTCTCTCAATTTTACGTCATACGTCATACGTCATATTTATATAATTAAATATATAAATATATCCTCTTCTCTCTCTCTCTTTCTCTTCCGAGTATGTGTGTTTGTGTGTGTATGTGTTTATTTTTTAAACCAGCAACATTCGCGGTTCCGCGTCGTTTCCGATCTCTTACTTTCTCACTCACTCTCTTTCAACCCCCCTTCCACTGTCTCCCTCTCTCTCTCTCTCTCTCTCTCTCTCATTCTCTCTATTTCTATTTCTTTCATGGATAGATCAGGTACACGCCTACAGCAAAAAAACCTAATTTTATTGCACTTATCCGTGGGATATATAAAAAAAAAAAAAAAAAAAAATACATTTTCTTTTTCTACATTACTAAAACAATTAAACTAATCAAACAAACTTATTGTTTTCACATGATTCGAAAAAAAAAAAGAAATCGGACAATATCTCATTTTAAAAAGTATGAGACACGAAAGAGAGAAAGAAATAGAAGAAGAAGAAGAAGCAGAAGAAGAAGAAGAAGAAAAACAAAATGTTGAAAGAAATAGAGATACAAAGTAAGAAACAAAAAGAGAGAAAGAGAGAGAGTGAGTGAAAGATGGTGGGACATTCGAAAGTGTTTTTCCTTTTTTAAAAAAAAGCAACCGACGAAGAATATTGAAGTTAAAATTTGATCATCCTTTCTCTTCATACTCTTTTATCGATGTCATTCGATCCTCTCTCTCTCTCTCTTTCTCTCTTTCTCTTTTTGTTTTTGTTTTTCTATTATCGAAAGCGGTAACTACGATACTCGATCCTCGGACAGAACAAGTTTGCATTTTACAGTGAAAACTGGATTATACATATCGCTATCGAATACACTGAAAAAATTCGTAATCCTCGTTTTCTCTCTCTCTCTCTCTCTCTTTCGTTCGTTCATTCGCTATCTTTCTCTTACTCGCTCGCTATCTTATATTCTATCATCCAATCACATCCCCGTCCCGCGTAGATGATGTTTCTCCCCCGTTTAACGACGTTAATCCGTGTCGTCCGACGAAAGTTCATTTTTATTTTCCAGGACAAAGTGCAACAAATAACCTGGGTTGGGTTTTTTATTTTTTTTTTTTAATTCGCCATGCGTAGAGTAGACGTGCAGCCAGCGAGGTGTGTCTCAGAGGTCGGAAGCAACGCCGGAAGTGGCATCGGTTATTATTAAAACAGCGACGGTTTCCTTCATCTTCTCTTCGTTCCTCGTTCTTGAAGTACTTGAAGTAGCAGTGGAGTAGTATTTTAAGATGTAGTAGAATAGTAGTTGTGGTAGTAGTAGTAGTAGTAGAGTAGTAGTAGTAGTAATAGTAGTAGTAGTAGTAGTAATAGTAGTAGTAGTAGTAGTAGTAGTAGTAGTAATAGTAGCAATAGTGGTAGCAGTGGAGTAGTGGTAGTAGTGACGATCGAGCTGTAGTAACGGTGGATGGTGGTAGTAATAATGGTGGTGGTGGTGGTGGTAGTTGTGGATCTTGTTGGAGGAGTTAAGTTGATGATCGAAACTGCTGTTGCTGTAGGTAAGTAATAAGGGAATTGTGGATCCTTGGATTGTATTAGGGAAGGGGGGGGGTTGGGTGGGTTTTCGTAGAAGTGGTAGTTAATTAGCTAGGGCTGCGAGACAATTAGGGACAGCGCAGCGGGGGTTAACACCAGCGGAAAGGTACGGGTCGAGGCCGATCCGCACCTTCTTTCACCAGAGGTTTGTGGAACTCTCGACCTGGTCGAGAATGAATCGTCGCCCAACAGTGCTCGCAATAGTACTACGAAAAATAAAAATATTATGAATTATTATCTAAGAAATATGAATGAATGATTAAACAGAATATTGAAATGATATATACCTGTAAGCACGTTACGTTGGCGCAGAAAAATGGTGCGAATTTGCCACCGCAACGCTGACCTTGACACTCGTCGCACATCTGATCGTCCAATACGTACGGTTTTACCTCGACCTGATCATACAAAAAAAAAATACAACAAAGTAAGAAACGAAATTGTTTTTTTTTTTAATCAGTTGCGTAATCAAACAACCAACCCTTTTGTCGATGTCACCGTGCTGGAGTTGCACGAATCGAGCTGAGATCGCAGCAATGTAGCTCTGTTGATTACTGAAAGCTACTCTACCGGCACCCTTAGGATACTTCAACTCGGGATCGGTATCGATGCCAGCATAGCAAACACCTCCATAAAGTCGATCCATGATCATAGCGAGTTCAGCGGCCTTTAACGGCCGTGGGACGCCACCAACGAAGACAGTCTTTCGTGGATCGAGTGGCATCGAGGCGTCCAACACGAAATCCGCGTCGCTCAACCGCCATGGTCTTATTTGTACCGGCTTGTCTTTGATCGTCGGCGAGCTCACACAGAGATAAAGCTTGTCCTCGTCTTGGATGCATGCATCTATCAACTGTTGCACCGAGCCTTCGTCCTAAAATTAAATTCAACTTGACGTTTGCAAGAATATGTTCCTTGTTTCAAGATTTATAACTCTTGTCTTTTATTATTATTAATATTGAGACGACGTATAAATATACCTGAAAAAGCAGGAAAGCGTAACCTTTAGGTGGAAAGTATGACTTGCTCTCTGCTTTGTGCGGCCAATCGACGACTAGGGGTCCGAAACGACGGAAACTGGCTGTGATTTCGTCTGAAATTGTTTCATAAGAAAGAACAAAATAAGAAAAAAATGTGACAAACCATTGGATAAGAGAAAACATTACGATCTATTTTATACGTCAATAAAATACGTTGTCATTTTTATTTCTGTCACGAGCAGATCTTAATTATTCTTCTTTTATTTTGTTGTATTTTCTTTTACTAACCTTCGTCAATATCCGGTGGCAGGCCACCGACGAAGACTTTCCTAGAGAAACGTTCTCCGGTCTCGCTACCCTGACTGTGAGGACTGCTACGACTCGGTGAAGAAAGCGGTGCCGCTTGGGAAGCAGTTATTCCACCTCCGACACCGACACCAACTCCTACACCAACACCAACGCCAACACCGACTCCAACACCATCGAGTTGACTAGGTGCGTTTGGATCCTCCAAGAGTGTACCGGTTGGTTCATCGAGACTCGGGAAGAACGGAGATTTGCCTGTTATCAACATACACAAATTTAAACGTTTAATTGCATAATCATTTTTATCATCAATTGCTTGTCTTATATTATAAAGAATTAAACTCACGATTTTTTTTTTTTTAAAGGGAAAGATATGAAATTCATGATATCTTAATTGATGTAAGCTGAATATTATTTTATTGTTTTGTTTTGTTATTTCTAAATTTGACTTAACCCAAATGTGAGTAAAGTTGTAAATTTAGGTTAAGTCGTTAGACGCGTAAAAGGAAAAATGTCGCAATTTTGTTTCATTCATTGTAAAGAAATATATGGAGGACGTTTGAAAAGAGACGTAAAGAATAAAGGAAAGAGGAAAGATAAAACGAAACAAAAAAAAGTCAGAAAGTAAGAAAGAAGGATGGAAAGAAAGAAGGAATGGGACTTACTGTATCGTTTTTTAGCAGGAAAAATGGCTCTCCTAATAAATGTCGCCATTTTGAAGGAACTAAGAAGAACTGATCTTCCCCTTTATTTATTTTCAATCTTATTACCCTGATACGTAACCAAACTAAATAGAAATAATGTGTAGAAAAAGGCGAACTCAGTTTGTTGTTGTTTCTTGCTGTTGTTAAGGAAAAATAAGGAACAGGTAATGAGGTCACGATGCAACCGAGTGGAAGGGATCGATGAATTACGTTTGTGAAACAGTGGAATGAGACTAATTTGTCTTTGCTCGTTTCTCCTAGCATCTCCTTTATATATATATATATATATTTTTTTTTTTTCATTAAACATGGGCGACAGACACATGACAAAGGAAAGCCGTAGGTCAGTGTGGTTTTGTCAACTCCATCTAGGGTTAATTCAAATATTGAAAGAAGAAGGTGAGGTGGAGTGAGGAGTTGTGGTGGTGGTAAACGGGTGTTGAAGAAATTATTGACATTCGTAGATCAATCAGAATTTTAGTACGAGATTGAAATTGACATTAAAACAAATTATTGGACATTCGTAAGCTCAATATCAGAATTTTTTATGAAAAATACAAAATTCACTTTTACAATTAACATCAAAGATAAATTTTTATAGTCGAATTAAAATCACAGATATTTATAAATGTTAATTGTTACATAATTTATCGAGATTTTATTGGTTTTTGTGGTAGGACATGATTGAAAGAAACAAAAAAAAAGAAAGATAAGTTAGGAAATACCGGAATTGACGAATGATCAATTTTATTTCATTTTTGTTTTCTTTTTCTTTGTAAATGTTTATGGGGTAATTTGAAATCTAAATCTATCTAAATTTCTCATAAAATGGACGTTAACGATGGTTAGAGAATTATTGTTTAAAGGCTTGATGGATTGATATACGATGATAGTAAAAGTAGGTGTGCATGGAATCAATGGCGTCGCGACGAGCGTCTGATGTGAGTGGATTTCGATAATCAACGACTTCATATTATCAACGTTTCACGATCCAGTCGTAAAATTCTAGTTACGTCAAACTTCCCTTTCTCTCTTTTCCATTCTCTCTCTCTCTCTCTCTTTATGTATACTTCATCTCGTATACGTAATGGTATATAGGTCAATAGACAACGATGAGATGACTTATTGAAAACAGATTTAGACCTCGAAGAATCGCGTCGAGTAATCGATGCAATGTCAAGAATCATACGTGGGTGTTGGAATGAAGTTGAATGTAAATAGGATTCCGAGTTGAAGTTATATTGTATATATATATGTATATATGTATATATAAATTTACAAGGTATCCTATTTAAAAATAAATAATATCTAAATGATTATATTAAATTGCATTTTAAAATTTTATTATTATGGTACGATATAGTTAAAAGAAAAAATATTATTAAAATAAAAAAAAAACAAATTACAACATACACAGTAATTTTAATTCTAATCTTGGGATATTAAAATATTAATATTATAAAATATTAATATATATATTATTTTTAATATTACAAAATGTTAATTAAATATATATATAATATATAAATATAAATATATAAATATTATTTATTAATATAAAGTATATTATATATTATATATATATATATATATTAAAAAAATATTATATATTATTTTATTTAATTATTATTTATGATACTATTTTATATATTATTGTTTAATTTATATAATATTATTCAATTATTTAATTTTAACTTATAATTCATATTAATATTTATATATTTATATATTTAATATAAATATTAATATTTATCTATTATATATATTTTATATCTATATATATATAGAAAAGATTGTAGATATTTATACGTATATTTAAATTTGCAAATTAAAATTATTAAAAAAAAATTATTAAATTTACAGAAACAAATTACAACAGGTACCGTAATTTTTATTTTTATCTCGAGATATATTAAATATAAATATAAATTTATCTTAGGATGAAATTAAATGGAAAAGAAGAATATTTTTTCTTTCTTTTAATAGAAAAAAAGTAAAACAAATTATTAATAGACATTTGAATTCAACTTTTGTTTCAATTCAAATAATACAAATGTTGAATTTATATTAATTATAATTTGATTACTATGCGTGTGTGTGGTTTAATTCTCAAAACAATGTTAAAGCAATCGATAACTTTTTATTATCTTCAAGTCAAGACACTCATTTATTTTGTAATCTTCGTTGAAATGAGATAACGAATAAGTAGTGGTTCGATGCTTATAATCAATCGGTATCATAATCGTTATCGCAACAATCTTATTATTTTCTTAATTATTATATTTGTTATATACAATAATTCATTCTATTAGAAGTTTAATATTATTTTCGATTGACAAGATGAAGAAAAGAGAAAAAAAACATATGACCAATCATTACGAAAATATTATATAATAAATTTATATTAAAAATGAATGAATTTTAAGAAATCAATTTTATTTACATACATTTATTATTCGTTTGATAAAAATAAAATAATTCAAATGTTTAATAAAACACCCAATAGTGTTCCTTTTGTTTTGTTTTCCAATTTGCAAGAAAATAAACAAAAAAAGTATAATACTCGTGTCCTGTAATATAATATACTACTACTAAAGATTGATATATTCCGTTCACACACTCACACACACACACATACGTACATAAAGGTTCTTCCCCTTATTTGTCACAAATCTGTATGCTAAAAATCACTTCCGTCATCGTCGTCGTCGTCGTCGTCGTGCAATCAGACCGTTTCTACCTTCTATTCGATGTTTCAAACTAAAAGAAGAGGAAAGGAGGAGGAAACAGGAAGAGGAAGATAGAAATATAGAAAGAAAGAAAGAAAGAAAGAGGAAACTGTGGGAGAAGGGAATGGATATAAGCTAGAACGAACTGGGGGAATCTCAACGATGATGACGTGCATTTGATGTGATTGCTACAAGAGAGAAAGAAAAGAACAAAAAAAAGAAAAAAATAAAGAAAAAGAAAGAAAAAGAATGAATGAATGAGAAGGAAAACTAGCCGGAGGGTGAATTGGGACCATTTGTGCCATTTTCTGTTTCTGTTCGCATTTCTAGAACAAGAATAAAGGACCGACACAACGAAAAATAGGATTCGTTTGGTCGGTGAATATCAAATAGAAATAATACAAATATGTAGATGGCAAAAACAAAAGAATAGAAAATAAAAAAGACAATTAGAATAGAGTAATAAAATAAAATAAATAAATAAATGAATGAATGATTAGACAATGAAAAATAGGAATCGTTTGGTCGGTGAATATCAAATAGAAAGAACACAAATGTAGAAGATGAATAAAACGAAATAAAATAGAAAGTAAAATAAAAAATAAAATAAATAATAAATAATTAATAAATAAATGAACGATCACACACAACGAAAAATAGGATTCGCGTATAGTTATAAAAATATAATTTATCTTCATTATTTATTTTATTTAATAAATTTAAATTATTATTTTAATTTATTTATTTTATTTTATTACTTATATTAATACTTTATTTTAATTTAATATTTAATTAAATAATAAATTTATATATATATTAATAATAAATTATAGTATAAGTAAAAAAAATGAATAGAAAGTAGAAGAAACAAACAAAACAGAACAAAATAAAATAAAATGAATGAACTATCACAATCACACGGAAAAAGATATTTTAATGTAAGTAAACTAAACTAAAGTAAACTAAAGTGAAGTATAAAAAGAAGAGGAAACGTTCACTAAAGCAAACAGACGAATCAAAATTTAACGATGATGATTTACCGTCGAGTATTATGGACAATTCCAACCAAATTATGGATCGTTAGTTGTTCGTTGTATTACAATTTTGTTTTATTACTTTTGTGAAAGTGAATTTTCGTAAAATCAATCCACGATTGAATTGTTTTAAGATTATATTGAAATAAAATGTATTCAATATATCGTTTTGATATTGTTAATATATTATTTCTGTATAATAATAATATTATTATTATTATTCATACATCGATATAATTTAAGTCTCATCGATAAAATATTCATGTTTAAATAAAATAATACTCTACGTGATTTCTAATGAATAAAATTCATTCGAATGAATTCAAATGATTAAATATTATATACACAGTTAAAACTGTGATCGATCTATATTCATAATTTTATTACAATATCAATATATATTGAATAAATATAATTAAATATCAATGTTAGATTATAATTAATTATTAACAGATAAAAATTGAATAGGTCAGAAATTATATGACACATTTTTTGTATTACGATTTGTGTCAACATTTTGGTTACATTCCTGTTCCCAGCAAATTCGTTGGACACCCACTCACGATTGGTTATGAACAAAATGAAAAAAAAAAAACTTTCTACTAAGTTCACAGAGTTTAATGTTATTTTAATGATTGTCATAGAATCCAGAAAAAAAGTTAATAATTCAGATATTATATTATTTAGAACGAAAATTAATATATTATTAGGGTGACTGAAAAGTAATGTCATTTCTACAAATGTCCAATTTTTTATATTTTTATCAAAAACCGATCAATTTTAATCAA